TTCAAAATCCAACTCTCATGCCATTAGAAAGAGGATCATGAAAAACCTATAAAAAAATGGTTCATGAAATTTTAGTTCACTCATAAAGCTAAAGTCCGCCTGCTCTAGCAAAAAATGCCCACTGTGAGGAGCTCCCGGAAAATGCTGCATAACGAAGTCAAAATAGCACCTTTTTAGCTGAGTCTTTTTTAATTTTTATGAGAAATGATACCTGTGCCAGATTCAGCGTTGAAAGTTAGCTTAAGGGTTTCTTCATAAATTCAATTGTCGAACAATAGCAGATTTTAGTCACTTTCAGGTGAATTTTGGAATGTTAGATTTTTTAGTGTTCACTTAGATTTGAACGAACTGTGAATTGCATATGGAGGAAGAGCACACTTCAGAGTACTCAAAAATATCTTCATTTTTGTTTTATTGTCATTGCTTAAAATATTTTAAAATTTATAAAACAAAATAGCTTGGAAAGTTGGTTCGTTTCATTATGTTGAGTATTCTTCGTTTAATTTTTCTCTTTAACTTTCTATAGAAGTTTGATCAAGTCCAGTAGAGAATTTGACGGCGCATCTTATGGGAAAATAGTTAAGTCTAAGGATTGAAAAGAAAAAAACTTATAAGCAAAATACGAGGAGGGCCATTTATTCTGGGCCACCCGATATAAAGCGTGCAGAGGTGCCTGATAGTATCTGTGTTTTTCCTGCAGCTTTAGAGCAGTAGTGTTGCTGTTGCTGAATGAAAAAAGCATTTTAACACGATGGATATTACACCAGATTTTAGTGATAAACACAGAAGGGAACAAAGATTTAGTCCAGTGAAGGTGGTTACAAGTGTTTACAACATAGATAACGATCGTGAATTTGTAGCCAAAGTGGTCGATGAATTAGCACGAATGTGGAAGAATTTAAACGTAGTACATGGGCATGCAAGGCATCCACAGTCTCAGGGTTCTGTAGAAAGATGTAACCAAGATGCCAAACAATTGATTGATATGTGACTAAGTTTTACTACTTTATAAAAAGAACTTGTCTGCTTATTCTAAATTGTGAAAAAATTTTCCTTCATAGCTATATGGATGCGTGAGAACAAAAATGAAAAACAGTCTGAAGGTTTCATTTCTTGAAGAACAAATGCTATCATCGTGTTATTAAAAACGCTCCATATGCAGTTGTATTAGGTTATGATTCAAAAATTGGTCATGCGTCCGCATCATTAAATCCTTCTATATTTGGCAAAATACAAACAGAAGAAGATATCATTCCTGAATTCGATTTACCACCATCACCAGATGATAATGAAAGCGAAGCTGATGATGAAACAAGAACTAATCATAACAGCAAGAATGATCAAGAAGAACATGAGGATGGTAATGAAAGATAACAACTAATCAATCAAGAGAATGAAGATGATACAAATGATGTATGCATAGATAGTCGACAGCCGACACTAGCACTCAGTAATATTGCCAGACAAGGACAAAGTCGACAAACTAATGAATTTCTGAGAAATACAGGTAAAAAAACATGGTATAGAAGAATATTGGTGATCATGTTGTAAGCGACTGGTGATCTGAGGTTTAGAATCATTTGGGTTTCTTCTTCTACTTAGTTGGTACCTATAACTGATGTTGATCGTGGTCCGACCCATGCAAGAAACATATTAACTGCTATAGATCACATCAATTTCCTAGAGCATCTACTTCGTCAATTTTACGGGTACAACGTATACCAGTTGGTACAGAAAAATCACCGAGAGAAATTAACAAATAAAAAAATTTAATTGCTGATCAACGCTTGACATCATGCAGAAACTCCCCTTGCCGCAACTTCAATCTTGATCAATATATCTCTACCAACGATACCTCGACTAATTTGCCAATTTCCAGCTGCTTATCCTACTATCCTAACTATCCTAAATATCCTACATAACCTAAATATCCTAAACATTTTAGACAATCCACTTGTTCAAAATATCCTAAACAAACCAAATACACTAAATATCCTAAACATCCCAAACATTTTAGACAATCCACTTACTCAAAATATCCTAAATATCCAAAATATCCTAAACATCCAAAATATCCAAAACAACCTAAATATCCTAAACATTTTAGACGATCCAAATATTCTAAATATCCTAAATATCCTTTAGGATATGTAGAATACTTAGTGCACCACTTACGGCTAGTGCACCAATTGTGAGGATATGGATCCTCTAGTGGCTAACTCTAATCGTAGAAGTGAAGCTGTAGTGAGAATCAAGTCTCACTCCGATATCTTTATTTGAAGCAAATGAACGGCTATATATAGTACAAAAGTTAAACAAGAGTTTTGCAAGAGTTGCGCATGAGTTACATACGAACAGACAAAGTTGGGAAAATATCCTGCGGAAGGAAACGAAAACGAAAGAATGAAACAAGCAATAATAGAATTGCGCAAGAATGGTACAAGAGCAGAATGGAGACAGAATGAACCTTATGAGTTCCCGGGGAAGGCAGATCATAACATCCTAAATATCCTAAATATTCTAAACATCGTATATATTCTAAAATGTTTAGTAATAGAGAAAATCAAGTATGCTGAAAACATTTATTAGTTTAAAAAAAATGCATTAATATGGCTTCAGTTTAGCTATTTTCTTGAAAACAGAAAATAGTTCCACATCCAAATGCGTATACATACCTATTAAAGGCGAAGAAAACTAAATCACATAATTTAACTGGTGATACTTGTTTATTTTATACGAAAATTTTGTGCTACGCCGTTAGCACTGGATACATATACATAAAGTTAGATAGATGTAAACAATCAAAAACTAAGGTAACCTAAAACATTTTAAACTGCTCTCAAATATGTTTATTTTTAATACTGATGTTTGCTTTAAAGTCATTCGATCGATAAAGCACTAAAAAGAGAGCATTGTGTGGGCCAATTTTTGCCCTTAATCAAATTCAAACTCTATTGGGTCAGATGCTCGTAAAATGTCATTATTAGTATTACTAGATTCCATATGAAGAAAAAATGTGTGACCAGGGTAGAATCGAATCAGGAATCTTGACATTCTAAGTTGATGCCATTAATTCTACTTTCCTGGTATACGTGAAGACGAGATATATCACTTTTTGCTAGTGAACTTAGCTATCTTCTGCTTTCTTTTGTTCCTATAATAGTCACAACAATCTCAATTAACAATAACTGTAATTAAACTTCAACGTTACGTATTGTTTTCACTAACATATCCACCTTTCGTTCAAAATTTCTTATACTTTTCTGAGTGCACAAAAAGTTTCAGAGTGCAAGATACATTTTCCTTTCACTACTGGCGCTTACGATATGGAATCTAGACCTTTAGGTGACATAAAAATCTCCCTTAATCCATTTCGCATGTCCGGAGATTATCTTAGCATTCTCCGAACTTTTCTAGCTGTCATAGATCTATAGACATTGAAGTGCACATTTCCCACAAAAAAACGACAAAACAACGCGGAAAAAACGAAATTCCTATCAGAAAACACATGATGTCCGACGACATAGGAACCAAAACCCTCCTCAAAACACACAATGTTTGCCCAAATCAACACTTCCACATCAAGTCCCTTATTCATCACCCAATGCACTCCTCGATACTACTGCGACCAACACCATCATACTGGTCGATCAACACCAGCACGAGCAGCAAGACGATCATAACCATAACCACCAAGACCACCAGCAGCAAGACGATCAGCATAACGATAATAACCAGCAGCATAACGAAGACCACCAGCAGCAAGAAGACCATAATAACCATAACGATTACACTATACATCTATCTCCTAGATGTTCCATAGCACCAGATGACCTTTCACTTCCACCACAGCATGAATGATGATGCAGCTAGTGAAGAATGCCAACCACCACCACCATGAGGATAATCGAGCATAACGAAGACCACCAGCAGCAAGAAGACCATAATAACCATAACGAGGCACAAGATGACATTTCACTTTCGTCACAGCAAAGCTCATCGGACAACGACGAGGTCACCAGGAACTGAGTTAATGATGATGCAGCTAGTGAAGAATGCCAACCAGCAAAGTATTCATCTATCTCCTAGATATTCCATGGCATCACATGACCTTTCACTTTCGTCACAGCAATGCTCATCTGAGAACGACGCGGTCACCAACAACTGACTCAATGATGATGCAGCTAGTGAAGAATGCGAACCATGAGGATAATCAGCAGCACTGAGTAGTTTGAAATAAACATAGGTTTTGGTTGTGGTCTTCTTGACTTCCATGATTGTAAATATTGTTCCCGGAGGAAGTATGACTTCTTCTTCGTCGTAGTTGGAAAGGTGCGATATGTTTAAGCCGCCGTTTTCGGTCGCGTCGATAATGAATAGGGTATTGCCGAAGTTTTCGGCTTTTTGTGGATTTTTGGTAGTTGAGGTAAAGCCGCTCCAGCATCGCTTCTGGCCGGTGGCGTTCACATATGATTTTAGCGTGTTCTGATCGATGTTTACACCTCGATAAAGTTCCGCTGCGTGTTTTGTATGGGTGTTTATCCAGCTTCTGAAGAGAATGTAGCAAAATGGTCCGAGAGTGTTTATTTTGCTGTTGTCGGTTTCTCTCATTGCTTTATTTATTAGTTTATATAGAAAGCATTCCATTGTGTATAGGTGAATGCAGCACTTGTAAATTTCTTCTCTTTCTTTGTTTTTCACGGCTATTATTTGGCGAGCTAGATATTGTGACTCGCAATGTTGACCTAGTTTCTTTCCTTCGATAATTATTCCATTCGCTGCCTGCTCTACTATTTCGGCGTCAGAAAGTTCCTGG